ACTTACACGTGGATATATTTCCATAGTAAATACTACAGTGCTGCACGGCATAAATACAGAGGAACCATGGATACAGAGGGTCGACTATAAGTTATACATGGATTAACCACCGTGTTGTTCAAGGGTCAACTGTAGTTCTACAAAGCTTATAATGGGGGGGAAAAGTTCTACTCTGACCCCTGAGTCTTATTCTTAGAGCAGTGCTATTCCATAAAACTTCCTACAATGATTGAAATGTTCTGTACACGCACTGTCAGGTATGGAAGCCACCAGCCTGTGAGTTTCCCCCCATCTCCTGCCTGGACAGGTATTAGAAGCCCAGCTGCCCGTGTTCTTGAAGCCAGTAAGGGAGAGTGTTGGGCTGGAGGGACTACCGTCAAGGATAAAGAATTGCATCTCTTCCTCCTGGGTTCACTCTAGCACCTCCTCGGGTCTAGGTCTGCTGGTCCACCTTCCAGAGAATAAGCTTCAGTCTTCTGATGGATCAAGGAAGAGGTGGCTGATTGGAGGTTCAACTGCTCTGTGTGTGTGTTCCAATAAAAATTTATTTACAAAAACAAGCAGCAGGCCAGATTTGTGGTCTTTGGTTTGCTGATATCTGTCAACTGCTCTTTAACTAATTTTAGATCAGTTTTCCAGTTTTACCACCCACTCACCTAGGCACAAACACTGTGCATGCACTCTGCCCCACCTCCCTTTAGCTTGGCCATCTCCCCCCGGCCCCGTCCTCAAGGCCCTGACAGCAGCGGGCCTGCGGTCTTGGCCAATCAGTGACTCAGGATGATGAGGATGAGAGGCCGTCAGTAGGTCCCTAGTTCATGAAGGCAGAAGGGAGTATGGTCTGGCGACCCTCAAATCTTGTAGGAAGCAAAGGGGAGGTGGCCTCCCAAAGATAACATGTTGACCTGACACACCCCCGGCCCTCTTATCTGGAGGTGGGGGTGGAGGGAGTTCCAATTCTAATGAAGTGAGTCACCTGGCATGCCTGGTAGAAGGAAACGCCCAGTCTCACAGTTGGAGCTTCTCTGAACTTCGAGTGTAGAGTACTCATCACCTTTGTTTTTCTGCCTGGATTCCAGTCACTAATTCCAGGATAATTGCACACCCATCACCACTGTCTGGCATAAAAAATAAAAAATGAATTATCAAAAACTCAAAGGCAATGCTATTGCAAGGCTGAGCTAGCTGCCCCTATCAGATAAGGAACTCCACTTAAAATAAGGCAACACCAATGAGGCATGTCTAGGGAACATCTTTAAAGCCAGTGGACTTGGCCATGGTTACATTACTGCCAGACCACTGGTCCTCTCCCTCGTGGCTGCTCTCAACTTCAGCCCCCAACACCATCATCAGGGCAGGGAATACACATTCACTGTGCCAGAACAAACACTGGCAAAGAGTTCTCGAGACCAAGGCTGTCATGAAATCATGCCAAGAGAAGAAGTGAGCTCAGAGTTGATTGTATTAGGCAGGCCAACAGTGTGCAATTCTAGTTACATGTACGAGAGTCACCTAGGAAACTTTAAAAAACACCCCCCTCTAGAGAAACTGAAACAGAATCTCCAGGGTAGGTCCAAGGCATCCACTGAAAAACATCCCAGGTGACTTTAATGTCCAGCCAGAACTGGGACCACTGTTCTAAGCCAACGTGCTGATTTTCCCTTCTGCCTAGCTTTATTTCTCTGCTGTCTAGGGCCCGTAACCATTTTTATGGCTACTGAAAGTGATTCTGACTGATTTGATAGTATACATTCTCATGACTATACACTCTTCAAACTTTACAAACCCATTTTCTTACTTTCTGTGAAGTAAACTCTTGCAACCTACCAGCTCCAAAAATCTGTGCTTCTGAAAACCAAGACCCATAAAATTGTACCTTGTAGAACTTGCACTGAGAAGGCTGGTGGGAGAGGCAGAGCTGGCCCAGAGGAATATTCTTTTCTCTTTGTCTTGCCCCTCATTGTGTTAATTAGATTAGCACTCACTTTTCTCCCTCGTTTCATGCAATTATTTTGGCTAACGGACAATGAACTTGTCCTTTCCATTAACCTTTGTCTGGAAAATGATACGGATAATGGAAGTTCCAAAGAATGAGTTTCCACGACCGCGTTTCCCTCTCAGTGATTTTTTTACTTTGTTCTTATCAGCAAATCTGTTTTATAATAACCAAACTTGCCTTTTAAGCCTTGAATCCTCATCATTTCCAACCATTGCTATGCCTCACATAAGCTTCCTCTTGCAGCGTTATCTGTTAATTCACTTAAAACAGAGTACTATTGAATATCTTTGTAATGCTTAGGCCAGAAACACAAGGCTGCCTACATCAGAAGAGATCAACTAACTGCCCCACAGAACAAAGACCCAGGCCGAACAAAAGCTCTGTCTAGCCTTCCCCAGAATACACGGACGTCACTGTCATTGTAGACTCTAAAGAGCAAAGATGGATCTAATCTTTTCCATAAATCTGCCTCACTGAGAAAAATGTTGCTTGCTGAGATTAGTCTTGTAATAACAATGCCTCTGCTCAGCAAATAGAATTTAGGACAGTGCCTCCAAGGTTCGGGAGTTAATAAGAAGCATGCCAGGGATATGTCAAGAACTCACTACGTCTATTATTCACAAAGCAGCAGTATTCATTATGTCCTTAGGAGTTTTCCTGGCCAGAATTATGTGTGGGCTTTCTTGAGTGAAAAACATTAAACTAAAAAAAAAATCTAGTCTTTGAAGTGCTCACTATTCAAGACACAGATGCAGAAACAGAAGGATCTAAAGATGGGACAATTTGATAGATGTGCAAAGAATATGTCAGTTAAGTAAGCATTTTCACTGAAGATAAGAGGGGATGCAAGAATCATCCTGTGTTGTAAAGGAGGAGTCATTTCAGGCTCGCTTGTTCAGATAAGGAAACAACCTGACTACAGTCATTGGCCATCTGCCTGAAGAAGCACCAGCCACTCTAACCTGCTGGGATATCAGGGCTGGAGGACGAATATGGGTCTGCGATCACTGCTCAGCTGGGCTCACTCCGGAGACACAGAGGACTGTTAAGAGGATGGGCTAGATCCCCATTTCCAGGTGATCTGGGAGAGCCCTGAGTAAACAGGGCATCTTCCAGAACACCGTGAGTGAGAGTGGCTCCCAGAAGCGTCTCACTGGTCCCAAGTTCACCCAGTTCAGTAGCTGGCTCCTTGGACCTTCTGTCTTGGGGACCAGCCCTGGCTGTACCTGGACTAGTTCTGGCTGGTATTAAACTAACGTTAAATGACATGAATTAGTCACTCAGTTAAAATTCTAGAGTATCAGTGTAGCTAACTGACCTGCTGCTGTGCACAGAAAAATATCTAAAAGCTACTTTTGGAAAATTAATATCCAACTAATTAAAATTGTCCATTTCAAGCCCCCGATTTTTAAAAACTTAATAATTTGAATTCAACTCCTAAATCTTATTACTTTACTAATAAATCTAGCAAATGTTAATAATTAACATGTATTTTTAAAAGGGCTCTTACAGCTTAATTAACTAATTTCCTTTAATATCTTAAACTATATTTATACATTTAACATATTGATTTTCTTTTTAAGTAGTTCAGTAGTATGATTAATAAACAAAACCTTTTAAGTATTTAAATGACTCTTGTAAATCTAATCAAACACAGAAGTGTTGAATATTAAATCCTCTTAAATGTTTCAATGTTACAAACTTACTAAAACTTCACTCTTTTACCCTTCAACTTAAAACTACAAATATGAATCACATCTAAGTTACAATTCAGATGGAATCACATTATTCTCTTCTTCTAATAGACCGAATTCTCTAAAACAAACAATGCTTAAAATACCAAACGTAAACAAATTATTTCTGAGCCTAACACAAAAATTTTTAGTATTATAGGTTTTGTTTACTTTGTTATTCCTATACTTAATCCTAATTTTTTTTTCTGATTAAGACGTAAATATCCACTAAGCAGATAACTACGTCATTCCAAGTAATTTGGCCTTGCTTTTCTAGCTGACTCAGGTTGCTCGTGGACGGCTGTTTTGGCAGGGAGGTGTCCCAACCCAGAGGGACAAGTAGGGTTGATAAAACGGATTTCAGAAGTTAAAGAGGTTATTCACATGGTCCTGGATTTAAGTCAAATCATTATCTTATTTCTTTCTACGAACAGACTTCTGCATCCTCCCCTCCGGTTGTGGCTAACTTCCATCCCTGCTTTATTAGCCCTGCAAGTCTTTGCTTCCCTTAAAAGACATTTACATGTCACCCTATTGAACTTCCATCTCTTAAGGCTTTGCTGCCTCTGCAGGCCTCAGATAACCAGGTGTTCTTGGGTTCAGGGAAGAGAGGGGCCCGTCCAGCCTGGAAATCCCAGCTATTTGAAATGTCCTATGTGATCTGCTGTTAAAGTGACCCCAAAGCAGCTGGGCAACTGAAGAGACAACTATCAACATCATTAGACGAGGGGATCTTGGAAAAGAATTTCATGTCCTGGCTTCCAGGGTCCTCCCACATGGCCTCCTCTTGTGACCACTCATTGGCCCTCCCAGGTCCCAGCTGGGCGTGTTCATGCCACATGATCTTGCTCCCACTACCTAAGTGATGGAGCCAAAAGTGGACACCGGACCAAAGGGAAACAAGCAAAACACTGGGATGAACACCTGGATTCTCTCCTGAACAAAGACACACATTGGTGGTCACACCAATGGCACAGCAGGAGTCTGGAGTTGTGTCTAACAGAAAAAGTATTAGTTCTGACCATTTCCTCTGGTGAAAAGAGGTTAAAGACCTACTTTTTATAGCACTAGGAGAAGGTTGTAAAATTGTTTTCTTATTCAACAGTGCCCATGCCCTGGAAGCTTCCTCCTTGGTCCTGTTTACTGCTTCTTCAACTGTCCCCACTGACCCTTCCTACAGCCCTTTCAAAAGATGGTGGTCAAGACTGAATTTTGTCCTATGCGACTGAATGCGTTACTCTTTTGGTTGTCAGGGACAGCACTCATCTCATACTATTTATAAGGGACATTTAGTGTAAGACTACTGAGGAGACACAACTGCAAAAGTGCAGCGAGCCACAGGAACAAGCAGAGCTAAGGAGTTACACACAGTAAGGCACATTCTTCGTTGTGTCTGGCCTTTTCTTGTAGGTCAGGACCACTTCTCTCTCTTGTGGCAGGGTGAATTTCTCCACTTGGTGGAAAACATAGCTGCTAACCAATCCTAAGCTTTACATGCTAGAGCTTCAGCCACTTGGAGGGAGACCAACTTTTCTTTCCCAGTCAATACCAGTTCCCTATTGCCATCAATGACATCAGCACACTGACGGGCTAGATTTGTCAGCTTCCGCCAGGAGGCAGATTTGGGTTCATTCTAACATGTGCTTCACCTGTAGCTGTATGAATAGGGAAGGGGCTCTCAACAAAGGAATACTGGGAGGGGAACACCTTACCTGGCCACAGTGTGGAGATGACCAGTGCTGAACATTAACAGAAGGGCATCTTAAACTTACACTTCAGATAATTGCTCTGATGATTAGACATCAGGCTTTCTCTTAAACA